TCTGCCTTGCTGTATGGCAAGACTATAAAATATTCCAGAAGTAATTAAAATTGTATTTAATATGGAAGTTGTAAAGGAGTTCCCCCCTGCCTCCTTAGGGGTTCTTCTACTATAGCTATTATAAGTTTTACTTGTAAAAATAGTGAGCAAAGACAGTTTATATATAAGCATGAATGTCTGCCCTTCAATTTGATAAGTGTGAACATGTAATTTGTCTGAAGAATAGCTTTTTTATTTATGTTAAAGTTCATAAATTGCCAAATATATTTAAAAATGCAATAGTTTAAAAATGCAAATTCTGTACTGTTTTATTTAAAACTAAGTCTCCTCCTCCTCTATAAGAATCTCTGCGTCATAACTGAGGCCCTCAAACTCTAGTTTTAATCCCAGCTTCAGTGAATTTCTTCATGGGGTTTATATGAATCCCATGAAGATTTTATATATAAACCTCCATGAAGATTTTATATATATATATATATGTTCACCTTTCTCTCCCAAATAGTTCTGTTCCCTTTTAATTGTGCAGTTGATACTAGTAAGAGAAATAGATGCATGAGCAGAGGAGCAACCTCAATGGCTTTAGCGTAGACGGGGCTCGTGCACATGTGAGAGCGTTTCGGACATTCTGCAGAGTGAAAAATAGCTTTTCATCAGCTGGATTCACATCGTTCCGAAGCTTTCCTTCGTGACTGTAAACGTTAGACATGTATTTATACACAAGGTTATAGGTCACTGTCTGTGGGAATTGATTCTTCCATGGGTTTCATGCAGGAGAACAATAAAACAGCCCCAGATTGTATTTTTTTTTCTTTCTCTCTCACAGAAGTGCTTTGGTGATTTATTAAAGTTAATAATTTTGAAAAAAAAATGGCAGTACTACACTGAGGCATAGACACTTATTTCCCCAAGTGCCCGTATATATGTGTATGTAAAAGGAATATAAATGAGCAATGCTCTGTGCAGGACAATTAGCCTAATACTGACGTTACCTTTTTTTGTCTCCTTTCTTCCTCCTTCCCTTCCGTCCTTTACCCAACGCCTGGCCATGAAGATTTTGGACGTGAATGTACCTGTGTCGAGCACCGGCGAAGACGCCTTGGAGGCGGATGCCGCGCGGCCGGAACCGCGTCGGGCGGAAGGTGCCGGAGCAGCGCGGGATCCCCATGGAGAGCAGCCCGAGGAGGCCTCTCCCGCCCGGGAGGGCCCCGCGCCGCGGGCAGCAGCAGAGGCACCGGCAGGTGGGTGAGGGTCCCTGTCCGGAGCGCGGTTGGTGGCGGCGTGGGGGGCACATGGGTGGGAAGGTGAAGGGAGACGTGTTTTTGGGGATGTGTTTTCTTCTTAGCCCGGTTGTGCTGATAAACCAGTTGCAGCCTGGCACTGTGGATGCCTGGTGCCGCTGGCACTAGGTGCTCTGCCGCAGCGGTGCTTCCTGCTCCGTGAAAACCTGCAGTGCCCCGGGGCTCTTGGCCGGTCCCCCAAAGCCAAGACTCGGTTTGTGCTCCTTGTATTAGGAGTTTATGCTGCGCTGCCTTATTCCTGCCTTCAGAGGGTAGAAATCCTTTTGCATTCATTCACTGGTGGTTAAGAAACTATGGATAAACTATGGTTGAGAAACTACCTGGATGTCAAGGAGCTATCCTGCGCTCACAGGGAAGCACAGCAGGGTGTGATCTCCAACTGCTTGGATATAGCTGTCCTCATGCAGCTTGCAGTCAGACTAGTGGCTTGATCACAAAACCTCTTTCTGCTCGGAGCTCCTACCCTGGGAACCTGGTCCTTTCCTGGCTGTTCAGTAGGAATTAGGTTGTTCCTCCTTCTGCGCACAAGGACAGTCCGCCCTGCCGCCCTCCGCAGTCCCTGGCTCCTGCCCCGTCCTGGTGCTGCTGGAGGCAGTTGTGCGGCGAGGGAGATCGGCTCCGGGCATCCAGCTGCACCCGGATATTCTGGTGGGAAGGGGCTGGCTTTGGGTCAGGCCGGACAACTAGTGCTGACAAAGGAGAGGAGAGAAGGGGTGGGGAAAACTGGGAAAGGGGATGGGCCATGCTTTCCTGCTAAGGCAACTGCATAGCCCTTACTGTACTTTGGGTTTGGAGTTCTGCTGAAGGGAATTCTTTGCCACATCTTCCGTTAATTGCCATAACATTATTATCCCACTGGAAGATTGCCTGTATTTTCTGCTGACGCCTCACATTTTTTTTTAACCATATTGATAGAGTCTCTTGGCACTGTAAGACTTGATGCAAACACATTTTATCTTTCAGTAATGGTAAATGCTGTTCCCTCTTAAAATTTAAAATTTTAAGGCTAGGGATATTCTGAGAGAGAGTAGTTGGTAACCAAAGTCATGAAAGAGGAGAAAGTACTTGATGACTCGAGGCAGAGTCAGAAGATTTCAAGTCAGTGCTCATCTTTTGGAGCCGGTGATATGAGATGGTCTTTGAAAGACGGTGGAGTTGGCAGCCAAAGTGATTTTGTTGAATGCAACTGGGTTTGTGAACAATCCACCTATCTGTGGACTGCAGCTTTAGCTATGCAGACATGGTGTTCCTAGACTGTATAATGAAAAAGTGAAGTGAATATAGCGCACTTTCTTTAAACTTTACTTTGTAACTGTGCACAAAATCCCTTAGTCATAAACCGTCGACCAGGTCTGGGACTAGGATTGGATCCAGCCGCAGCCAGACTCCTCTCAGAAGGAGCCTGGAAAGCAAGGCGGTCCAATCTGAACCTCGTGACCCAACGGGAGCATATCCCAAGATAATTGTGTATTATCTTGAACCTCCATGCAGTAAATAATAAGCGACCTTGCCATAGAATCTCGTGAAATCATTGTCCATATCCATTGTCCATATGCAATTGGAATTGTGAACAATCCACCCAACTGTGGACTGCAGCTTTAGCTATGCAGAAACTGTGTTCCTAGACTGTGCAATGAAAGAGAGTTGGGAAGCTCCCCGAGAGTGAAAATAATTGTATGTGACCAAATGCGTAGTGCTTTTGCTCAGTGAAGATAGACTGCATTAGGAATTTACACTTAGGTAAATTGCAAAAAAAAAAAATCTTCTTCCCTTTTTTTTTAATATCAGCTATCTGAGCGGTTGTGTGATGCTGCTGTTTCAATCAGGATTTTATTATTTATTATTATTATTATAATTCAAGCTCATACAGAAGCAGCAGTATTTCTATGAAAGTGAAAACCCTCCTAGAGGAGGGCTCTAAAGTGAGAGTGCCCTTCCTGGGGGCAGCGCCGTGTTTATGTCCCGGTAACAATAGCCACAAATGACGCCAGCCTTGGAGGAAAAACAAAACCCCTCTGGTCAGGCATAAAGAGCCAGTTCAAGTCAAAACTACGCTCAGATACTCATATATTCTTCTGGGCCTTATAAAGTTTGATCCTTGGATAAATGAATATATTAGTGAGGGAATGTTCCACACTTCAAGAGCAATAAATCATTTTAACTTGATATTTCTTAATGTTCCCTAGTCATTCTTTATCTCCCCTCCCACCCCCCACTTTTTTCAACATCAGGGCATGTAAGCAATATATAGGATTTGTTACAGTAAAAGAATATTATAGGACTAAGGTTATTCTTTCCTGTTTAGGATTTTTTTTTTTTTTTGATGCATTATTTGACTCCCGCATTGGAAGGCTGTCTGAGAGGGCAATCCAGAGTCATGGGAGTTGCCACTGTCAATTCAATTAGCCGAAAACTATCTGGAAGTTGCTGCTCGGGCCACGGTGCGCAACCCAAGGCGCCGTTCCACCAGCCCAATGTCTGTGAGTCACCAAATCCATATATCAAATCCACACAGATGCCACTGATAAGCCAAAGCTTATCAGACTTTGGCGATAACCAAGGTAATCTACAGTAGCATTATTTTCATATTGGAAGGTCTCACGTATCAGATGCTGACACTATGCTTTTTTAAAAAAAAATTGCATTGTGTCTTCTTTCACTAACAGTAAGAACTGTTGAAGTATTTGATTGCTAAAGTAGAAGTATACCTGTCTGAACGCCTTGATAACAGAGTTTGAGGCAATTTATATACGCGATTAGGCTGTAAAGATTTCCCGTTAAAAAACTGATATAGCGGTTAATAAGCGAGCAAAGGATCCATTACATTGAACACTTTCGTTTCCCCATATCCCTTTTCAGGCAGTTTTCCCGTACTGCAGAGCAAATTCCCAAGGGGCTGGCGATGCCCCCGGTGCAGCCCCGGCGCGCGCGGCGGGCACCCGGAGCTCCGGCTCGCGTCCAGGCGGGCCTGGCTGCACCAAGGGCAATTCCAGCTTCCGGTCGCGCAGAATCCCGGAGCTCAGCCTTCGTTGCTCCCAGTTCAGCACAAATGCATAAAGATGTTCACGCACTTCAGCGAGAAGCGCGAATGGTTAAATCTACCCCCGAAGAGTGACATAGTGACATTTCCTTCTTTTTTTTTTTTTTTTTTTT